ATTTGGCCTATGTTTGAATATTGATGGTGTTTTTCCTCTCATTTGTCGCCCAAAATCCGACTGCAGGGGGACACGCTCGACCTAACTCTAAACTCTTGTGGGCATACCCAAGACGACCATGCCCAAGACGGCCATACCCAAAACAACCACTTTCAACTCGCTCAGGCCAGCTCAGCGATGCCAACGTTCACGTCTTACGCACGCCCAACGACGCCACACGCCCGCCTTACGCACGCAAGCCAAATTTGGCCTCCCAGAGCCGTAAAAGAATCACATCGAACCCCAAGCAAAGGGCACCAAGGATGGTGCGGATCTTGCGGAAGACGAGACGTGTACGGCAGATTCGCGTCGTGACGACGCCGGCGTCGGCTTCTGACACCGCATGGAAAGTTCAACCTTGAACGAGCGGCAGCTTTGCGATCGCCGGGTCTTTCCATTGTGGCCGCTTCTGGGCCAATGGCGGCGCTAGACCTTCGACCTCCCGCGCTGGAGCCGTCGCCACGTCGACACGACACGCTTCTACCGCACGAGCGGAGTCGGAATCGAGTGGGAAAGAAGGCTAACCCGCCCTCAGCCCAGCATCAGGTCGGGCATGTCCTCCTACAGGAGGGTGTTGGACGAGAAATCAACACAGCCACCCAAAAAAATACAACAGAATAATCAAAAATAGTACCAGCCTATTCTTTTCACTGGCTTCGAAGATTCCTCCTGGAGAAGGACATGCCCGACTTGAGCCCAGCAAGGACTGGCCCAGGCGCTCGAGGGGAGGCCCAAGCCGCCTCGGGCGGGAGAATGCTGCGCGGCCCTGCCTCGCACGAGGCGCCCGCTCCTAGCCGGTGGAGGGCACGTGCGGCGCTCGGCAGCCCGCTGCTATGACCCCCCCCCCCCGGCTTAGAGGGCATCACGATCGGAGCTCCGCGCCCGAGGAGGAGGGGGAGGAGGAGGAGGAGGAGGAGGACAGCAAGGGCGGGTACGCGGAGGCTCTCGTGGCCAGTCAGCACCCGCCCCTGCGCCTCAGAGACGAGGCCGCGCACGCCGCTGGCGCGCCCAGGCTCAGGCCGTGGGCGCCGCCGCAGCCGGGCAGCAGGGAGCTGCTCATGGAGGACACCTCTTGGGCGGGTGCTCATGAGGGGTAACCCAAATGGGGGGTGAAGCGAAGGGCCCCTTTTGGCACCTCCTCCTCCTCTCTCCTCCTCCTCCTCCTCCTCCTCCTCCTCCTCCTCCTCCTCCTCCTCCTCCTCCTCCTCCTCCTCCTCCTCCTCCTCTCCTCCTCCTCCTCCTCCTCTTCCTCCTCCGTTTCCTCCCCTTCTCCTCCTCCTCCTCCTCCTCAATCCTCCTCCTCCCCTTTCCTCCTCCCTTCTCCTCCTCCTCCTCCTCTCCTCCTCCTCCTCCTCTCCCCTCCTCCTTCTCCTCCTCCTCCTCTTCTTTTCCATAGTAATATCAGTTTTCTTAGTGTTGTTCTTATTAGTATTATTATTATTAATAGTAGTATGGTTATTCTTCTTACTATGATTATGAATACTATTATTATTGGTAATACTATTATTAGTAGTAGTATGATTAACATTATTATTACTACTACTACTACTACTACTACTACTACTACTACTACTACTACTACTACTACTACTACTACTACTACTACTACTACTACTACTACTACTACTACTACTACTACTACTACTACTACTACTACTACTACTACTACTACTACTACTACTACTATACTACTACTACTACGACTACCTACTACTACTACTACTACTACTAACTACTACTAACTACTACTACTACTACTACTACTACTACTACTACTACTACTACTACTACTACTCCTGCTACTACTACTACTACTACTACTACTACTACTACTACTACTACTACTACTACTACTACTACTACTACTACTAGTATCATTATTGTTATTATTATTAGTATTCGTATTCTTCTTCTGTTTAGTAGTATGATTCGTCTTATTCGTCGTACTATTAGTATTATTGATCGTGTTAGTATTCTTATTAGTATTCTTAGTATTCGTATTAGTATTAGTTTTCGTCTTCTTAGTATTCTCTATCATTAGTATTATGATTATTATTATTCGTATTAGTATTAGTATTCGGATTATATTATTAATCTTCTTATTAATATTACTATTGTTATTCGTCGTGGTATGATTCATCTGCTTCGTATTATGTGTCGCCTTAGTCTTCTCAAAATTCTTATTAATATTAGTATTAGTATTGTTATTGTTATTGTTCTTATTATTATTACTATTATTAGTAGTATTATTATTAGTATTATTAGTGTTATTATTATCATTGTTATCATTATTACTATTATTATTATTGTTCCTCCTCCTCCTCCTTCTCCTCCTCCTCGTCCTCCTCCTCCTCCTCCTCCTCCTCCTCCTCCTCCTCCTCCTCCTCCCAAAAGGCCGCCCCAGGGCCCCTTCCTTCCCCCCCATGTGGGCCCCCCCCCATTGGCTCCCGGCCGAACCTCCAGAAGAAGAAAAAACAAACAGAAGCATGAACTTCTGAAGGTCCGCGCGGAAATCTTGAATCGGCGCTGGACACCCCTCGCGCGCAGCAGAGCGCGCTAGGGGGCGGCACCGGGGCCGCCGCCAGGGGTGCCTCCGGCGCCGAGCCAACAGCTCCACGCGGAACTCCGAGAATGTACTCCGAGTTTCTTGATAAGCGTCGGGAGGGCGTCACCCCCGCCGACAGCCCCACATCGACCCCCGTCGCGGGCAGCCACCGCGCGCCGAAGGCGCTCCGACCCCCGTCGCGGCGCGACGACGAGGCGAGGCTGACCCCCGTCGGGGAGGTACCCCCCACGCTCATTAAGAAACCCAGAGCATGTTTTTGCCGTTTCTTCTTCCTCGGACCTCGTAGTAGGCGCCCTTCGAGAGGAACAGCCCCGCGAGCCAGGAGGCCGCGGAGGCCTGGGCCCCGAGCAGGCCCACCATCAGCAGCGGGTGGCGCAAGTACGGCGCGAAGGCCTCGGGAGGCAACTCGCTGTAGGTCATCGTGAGCACGATTGAGGACTGTTCGAGCTTGCTTAAGGTTAGGTCGGGCGTGTCCCCCTACAGGCGGATTTTGGACGAAAACTCAAAAAGAACCCAAAAATGCCCAAAGAGAGTCAAAAATAGTGAAAAAATGTCCCCCGACTGTTTTTCTACTATTTTTGGATATTCCTCCTGTAGAGGGGCAGGCCCGACTTAAGATTAAGGAGCTACCAGGGCGGATCCGCCCAGACAGAGCCCAGGATTGAGCCCGAGTAAACGGGATCAGGCCGGACTGGGCGGAACGAGACGGGATCCTGGCGGCCTGGGCCTGTCTTGAGCCATGACCGGACCAGCGCCGATGCCGAGCTACTAACCTCCCAGGAGTTGCACCCTACTAGACGGCCTGGACGGCCAGCAGCAGCGCCGGGTACGCGAGGAGGTAGGCCTGGGGAAGCCAAGAGGCCCCAACACCGCTGCCCCCGCGACCTGCCCATGGGGTACGGCCTGGCCAGGGGCTGGAGGCGAATCGGGCGGTGGCGACGAGGGCCTCCCAGGAGGCCCCAGAGGGGGGGGAAACGAGGCGAGGGTGGCGGCATCAGTAGTTACCTCTTCCCCCTCCGAAGGCCGAGCCCGCCGCCCGGAAGCGCCGCAGGAACGACTGGAGCCTCAGGCCCGCGCGGGCCTGCAGCTCGCCGGACTCTCTGGCGAAGGCTGCGAAGAGGAGCAGGCGAGCGGCCAGCAGGATGAGGCCCAGGGCGCCGCCATTCTCGTGGTGCTCGTGGGACGCCTCCCCGTCGAGCTTGTCCAGCAGCACCTGCGCCATGGCCGTCTGAAAATCTGTACCCAGGCACGCGCCGCCGCACTCCGCCTGTTCCCTCGGGGAGGGCGGCGTGCAAAAAAAAACGCTGGCCCTCGGTGGTGATTTGAAAACCGCCACCCCTCCCCGGAGGCCCAGGAGCGATCCACTGGAGCGGCGCCTGTGTAGATTTACATCTACACGCATGTGCTAGAACCATCGCGCGCGCTCAAGTTCTAGCGCATACTGAGGGGGGGTCCACATTCGAGTGCGGCCACTGGAGCGAACACCGGGAGTCATAATCCGCCGACCCCTTGCGGGTCTCTAGGCATGTGACATTGTTCCCCCCCCAGAAGCCCCCCCCCGGACCCCAAACCGGCAACTTGACCCCCCCCCGTCGGATCTGACCCACCCCCGAACTCATCAGGGGCGGTCCGGGCTCCGCAGGCTCCGCCTAGAGCTCCAAGACAACTCGTCAAGCCTCCCAAGACACCCCCAAGTCGCCGAATGATCGATCCAAGACGCCCAAGAAGCCGCGAAGACCCCCCAAGAGGCCTCCAAGAGGCTTCCGAGGAAGCCCCCAAGAAGCTGAAATCGTCGAATTCCGATGGGGATCGTACACTTTTCGCATACACGCCTTTTCGGCCTTCGCAGCGTTCTTTGGGGCCTCTGGGGCCGTCGTAAAACGCGGAGAAGCCAAATCATTGTTTCTTGGGGCCGCCGTGGGAGTGCTCTTGGAGGCATCTTGGGTCGTCTGGGGAGCCTGTTGGGCCGTGGTGAGGCCATCTGGGGCGTGCGCAGCGCCTCTCCCAGCGATTCACAACGTTCTTGGAGCGTGTCGGGGGCCTCTGGGGGCTCTACATGGGCGTCTGGGGGCCGTCTGGGACGCCTTGGGGGCCGTCTTGGGCCCCCCAAGGGCCAAACTGGCGACTTCAGAGGGGGGCGCCTGAGGCGATCCTGGGGCGAACCTAGGGGCCTCTAGGGCAGTCTTAGACTGTGGAAAGGAAAAGCCGGGAAGGTAGAGATGTAAGCATTTTCGTATTGAGGAGTACTGCGAATAAAAAACACAACGGCGAATCATGGATTGTTGGTCCTTGGGGCTCTCGTGGGATCACTCTTGGAGGCATCTTGGGGGCCTGTTGGGCCGCCAGGAGACCACCTGGTGCGTGTTGAGCGCCTCTGTGAGCGCTTCGGGGCGTTCCTGGATCGCCACGGGGGCCCCACGAGGCTCTCACTGGCCCGTCTGGGGGCCAGTCCGGGACGGGCCCCCGAGGCCCGGAGCCCCCACGGAGAGTCCGAGGCAGCTGGCTGGCAGCCGCCGTGCCCTGCGCCCCTCCTCCGCCCCCCTCCGCGGCGATCGCGAGCGACGAGCACGTCCGTGTCCGTGTCTCCTTGCGGTCTGGGCACCGGGGCGCGGCCCCAGGGGGTGCGCGGTCCCAGGGGCTGCGCTCCGCGCGGGGCAGCCGCGCAGAGGCGCCGAAGATCCCCGGAGCCGAATCCGAGGATCGAGCCAGACGAACGGAGGGGAAGGAGAGGGGGGGGGGGGGGGGGGGCAAAAGTGAAGGGGCCCTGGGACACACAAAGAAATACACACAAATAAAAGGATTCCCCATATTTCCCCATATTTTCTCGGGTTTTGTCTTCCCCCCCCCCCCCCACTTCCCATATTTTCCCATATTTCCCTGGGAGTCGACGAGTAATTGTGTCTGCGTGTTTCTTTCCCTCCTGACAAAGGGCGGGGCAGCAAATCAGCTCACAGCGGGTTTTCTTGGCGCCTCCTGGCGCCAATAGCGGCCACGCATCGGGGAAAGCGCCTGGCGGCGGGGCCGAAACCAGCTGCGACTGGGGGAAGGCAAGAGGAAGGCGGAAGATGAAGAGGACGAGGAGAAGAAAGAGGAGGAGGAGGGAGTGGGAGGGGAAGCGACGCCACATGATTCAAAAGGCCTCTCCAGGAACATCGAGAGGGAAAGGCAGGAGAATGGCAGGGAGAGAGGAGAGGATGAATGCGATGGTCAATGCATCGCTCTACAAAGTTGGCCCCTGAGATTGAGTGGTCTTTCAGGGCTGCTCGGGGAACTCTTGGGGGCCAGTCACTTGGGCGTCTATTGGGGGCCTCTTGGGAGCCTCTTGGGAGCCTCTTGGGGCCCCTTTGGAAGCCTCTTGGGGGCCTGCCTTCGGAACCTCTTGGGAGCATACGGGGTGCTCTGGGGGCCACATTGGCGCCAAGAGCGATCGGAGTGCCGCTCGGGGCGCGCTTGGGGGGCATCTTGGGGGGCATCTTGGGGGCGTCCTCGGGCTCTCTTGGGGCGTCGTGGGCGCCCCTTGGAGAGTTGTGGGCCGGCCTGGGCCTGGGGCCATCTTGGAGTGCTCCTGGAGCGTCTTCGGCCCGTGTTTGGCCTCTCCAGGAACTTTGTTGGACGATTTGGGAGACAGCTGGAGGACCCCAAGACCCCATCGGAACCGTGAAGGCGAGAGAGCCACAAACATTGACAACACGCAATGATTCCTGGGGCGACTTGAAATCCTTCTTGGGACCTGCATATGAAGGATTTTAACCTTCCATGGGCACTATTTGGCTGTCGTGGGGCCATCGTAGGCCTTCTTCGCCCGTCCTGGGGTGATCTTCGGACACTTGTTTGCCTTTTGCAATCGTCTGGGGCCGTCTCGGGCAGTCTTGGATTCTTGGGAGGGCGGTAACGAAACCGTACCCCAAATATTTTGCCTGTGCTGGGGACCTGAGATATACATGTTTGCATGTGTGTATGTATACGTGACTGTGTGTGAGGCGAAGCACCAGAACCACGTGGAGGAAGGCCACTGCCAGGGCCACCCGCCGCATGCTGGACAGCTCGCAAGCCTCCGCCGCACTCGCGAGCGAGTAGCCGCGCGCGATGGCGATCAGCAGGGTCACCGTCACCACCTGGCTCAGCATGTCCAGGGCGCCCGCCAGAGCGTCGGCTGCCGGAGAGCCGACACCGTTACTGCTGTACGCCCACAGGTGCAGCACCTCCAGCAGCAGCGCAGCCCACTGCAGTGCCACCGCGGCGGCCAGGGCGCAGAGGACGGGGTGCAGGGGGCCCGTGCTCATCGCCGCCAGGCGGCACCGCCGCACGAAGCACCCCAGGAACGCCGTCAGGCAGGCGAGGGCCACCGCGCTCACCGAGGGCATCCACCGGAGCTCGACGCCCAGCTCGGAGCCGTCGGGCTGGCGCATGCGGACCTCGAAGTCCACGTCGGCGCCGCCGAGGCCGCCGGATGCACAGCTGGACGCCGCGAAATACCAGATGTTCGGAGCAGGGCGAGCTGCGACAACGGCAGCCAAGCGCTCGGTCCCCGGGCCCCTCCCGGGGTCCGGACGCACAGCTCCCCCGAGCTGCGCCCAGCCCTGGCGACGAGGGGCCCCCCCGACGGCCAGCTGCCGTCGTCTCCGCCCACCCTCCTCGGAGATGTGCGGCCGGATGCTCTGGGAGACGAAGCCGCTCACCCATGGCCCCCACTCCCCCGGCTCCCTCCCCAGGTCGACCTTCCGGAACGTCCTCTTCGCCGGGCCGTCGGCGGCACGCTGGCAGGCCGGGAGCGTCAGGGCGCGATCCCAGTCCACATCCAGGAAGACCTCCAGGTCCACCTCCGGCGCCGCGGCAGCGTCGAGGAGGGCCGCCGCGCGGGCGGCGCCGCCCGGGCGGAGCCGGAAGCGCACGTCGTACGTGGCGCGCTCCCCGATCGCATAGCCGAACTTGCCCAGATAGCCCCACCTGAGCGACAAGAAGAAACCGGTCTTACGCGAGAGATGACGTAGCGACCTTGCCCAGCGGCTTATGCGGGCCGCCAGCGCGGCACGCCACATTGGAAACGATGACTCTTGCGCGCGACCTTACGCAGGCAGCGTACGCGCCAGTGTCCGCGCACAGTCCAAACACATAATAAGGATGCGCGGTAAGGATGCACGAGGCGTGGAAGGCCATGATGACGTCTACCGAACGGAACGGCCAGCGAAAGTGTCCAAGGATGAGCTGAAAAGGGAAGGATGCAAAGTTAACCTTGGAAAGTTGCTGATCCGTAGTGAACGTTTTCTGATTCGGCGTTTCGACACTGAGCGGAAGGGGGGGGTCTGGCTCTGGGCTTCTGCTTAATGCGACTGTTTGCAACAGTGCATCCTATGGGGGAGACTCCACCTGCTCAGAACAGGCGCTAAAAACAGCCTAGATCTGCTCCATGGACCCAGGGGGGGAGGGGGTGCGAGGGCCCGCGCCGATCGGCAAAACAATGCATAAAAAAACGATCACGCATTATGCGCTTTGACTTGAGCAGGGGCCGACCGTCCCGGCATTCCTACAGGCCTACCACAACATGTTCTTAGAATCCCAACAATGTTCAAATCACAACTGAACAGCGTTCTTAGAACACAAACCCTATGTGCGTGAAAACAAAACAGTCTCAGCCAGAAACGTTCGACTAACAGTTCTTGCAGACCACAAGAGGTTCTTAGAACATTCTTTGGTAGGACTACAATGAGGGGCAACGAGAGGGGGGGACTGGCATCGGGGGGGGGCATCGATCTGGAATCGGCGATACATCGCCGATAGGTCGGCCATAGGCCTCCCGCAGTGAGTCCGCACCTTCCTGGGCAGGCTGGGGCCATCGGGCCCCTAGCGGAGATCAATGGGCAATTGGGAATCGATGCATCCCCCCCGTGCCCATTCGTTGCCCCTGATACAGGCAGGCCACGACGCTTCGCCTCCGCTCGATGGACTGCAGCCGACAGGGGGAGGCGAAGGCACAGGGGGAGGCGGGAGAAGGAGGGGGAGGGGGAGGAGGAGGAGGAGGAGGAGGAGGAGGAGGAGGAGGAGGAGGAGGAGGAGGAGGAGGAGGAGGAGGAGGAGGAGAAGGAGGGGGAGGGGAGGAGGAGGAGGAGGAGGAGGAGGAGGAGGAGGAGGAGGAGGAGGAGGAGGAGGAGGAGGAGGCGGAGGAGGAGGAGGAGGAGGAGGAGGAGGAGGAGGAGGAGGAGGGGGAGGGGAGGAGGAGGAGGAGGAGGAGGAGGAGGAGGAGGAGGAGGAGGAGGAGGATGGAGGAGGAGGAGGAGGAGGAGGAGGCCCGATTTTCCTCGCCCCGCGCGCCTGTCCTCGTCGCGCCGGCCGCCGAGGTGCACCGTGCCCGCCTCCAGCTTGCCCTCCGCGGGCGCGGCGCCGAGGGGCCCAGCGAGCAGGCTCCAGAGGAGGAGCCCGGCGGCGGCGGCCGGCGCGGGCATGATCTCTGCGAGGGGGGCAGGCGAGTTCGGGGAACAAACACCATTTCCTCCTCCTCCATCTCCTCCTCCTCCTCTTCCTCCTCCTCCTCCTCCGCAGCCTCCTCACTCCTACTGCTGCAGGGGTCGGGGAGCAAGCCAGTTCAGTGGCAACTCATGGGAGCCTCCTATACCATCCGGTCGGCGTTTGCGAATCGACGCTATTATCGACGCTGGTCGACGCTAAACCGACGCCTAAGTCGACGCTATCCGACGCGGAATCGGCGCTATCTCATCGACTCCCAGACACTAATCGACGCCGGTCGACGTTGAAGACGTAATCAAGAGGGTATGCTCGGCGGTGAACAAACATCCCTTTTGTAAAACTCCCCTGAGTGAAAGCGGCCTGGGACCGAAACCGGCGGACCTGGACCCACAAAAATGACGGCCGCGACGCCCTCTCGCGAACCGAAAACGGCCAGTTCCTTAATCGACGTGGCAGGGTAGGAGGTCTGTCCACCCCCGGTATACCAGGCTCCCACGATTCGCTACCGAACAAACCATGACCGCAAACTTTCGACGGCCCGAACGCGGATGTCTCGGCTCGGCGCTGGCACCCACAGGCGGCACCTCTCTGGCGCCGCCCTGTGGCTCGCTCCGCGCGCCAGGGCGGGGGGACCCAGCGCCGCTCCAAGAAATCCGCGCGGGCCGTCGACGACGACGCCGACGCCGACGACGACGACGACAACCATGACGACGACGACGTCGATGACGACGACGACGACGACGACGACGACGACGAGGCAGACGCCGACGACGAAGACGACGACAACAACGACGACGACGACGACGACCACGACGACGCCGCCGAGCGCCGAAGGTTTCTGTTTACGCAACGATTTGTTCCACGAAGGGGGCGGGTCCGCTCGCTTCGCGGCACCGGGAGCGGGCTGCGATGAGGGCTCGGGCCGAGGCGGCTACGGGCGGGGAGGAGGCGGGGGACGAGGCGGCAGCGGTAGTTGCGGAGAGAGGGCAGGGGGGCAAGGCAAGGCAAGGCAAGGCGCGCCTGAGTCCCCCGGGGGGCGGGGCCTGGAAGGCCAGTGCGGGCGGGCCTGGAAGGCCTGTTGCCACGTGCATATTGCATTACACATCTTTAGGGGAACGAAAAATAACATAAACATGAAAATTCGAAGGTCCGCGCGGATTTCTTGGATGCGCCCTGGACCCCCCTCCCTGGCGCGCTCCGCGCGCCAGCTGCGGCGCCAGAGGCGCCGCCAGGGGGGCCCAGCGCGGATCCGAGAAACTCTCGCGGACCTCTGAGCTCTCATGTTTGTGGCATTGCTCGCTAGCCTAACCTTGCAGTACACCTCTTGGCAGTGACACCGGGGAGGATCACGTTGACCCCGGGTCGGTTGCCGCCCGAGCGGGGGAGCGGGGCGTGAGCTCACGGCGCCAGCACGGACGGGGAGGAGGGGGCCTGGGGCAGCAGAGGGCGGCAAGGGGGGGACGGAGGGCGAGCGCTGGCCACGCTCGGCCCCACTTGCTGACGCTGACGGGCCTGTCCTCCACCACCGCCACCACAAGTTGGAGGGGGGGGGAGGTGGAGTATGAGGAGGAAGACGAAGAGGAGGAAAAGGAGGAGGAGGAGGAGGAGGACCCACAACCCCTCCTGCTGATGGTGGTGGTGGTGGAAAACAAGCCCATCACTTGCGGCGCACGAGCTGCGGAAGCACGGCGCCTTCGTCACGGGCAGGTGCGAGTCGTTCGGCGTCGCGATGACCACGCCTGCCGGCCCCCGCGGAGGAAGAGCAGGCCTCGACCGCCCGCCTCGCTCCGAGCCGATCGTCCAGTCCGAACCGAATGTCGCCTGACCGTCAGCTTCAGGGGCGACTTGGATGGTCTTGGGCACCCGTGGCCTGGATCCACACGCCTGCCTGCTAGATTTCGAGCTGCAGGGCCTTCCAATTGCGGGGGGGGGATGCCGAAGCAGAAAAGCCCGAAGCATTCGCAGCCTAAGAAGACGGTAGCGGGACGGGCCGAAGGCCGCTAGATCCCCCGAGCCGCCGAACAAAGTATCCAATCGCCTCCAAGGCAGCCAAGATGGCCTCCAAGTTCGCTCAAGATGGTCCAAGCTATCATCATCACCATCATCACCATCATCATCATCATCATCATCATCATCATCATCATCATCATCATCATCATCATCATCATCAGCATCATCATCATCATCATCATCATCAGCACAATACTCATCATAATAATCAGCATCATCGTCATCATCGTCGTCATCATCAGCAGCATCACCATCAGCATCAGAATGAGTATCATCCTCGTCATCATCATCAGTATCAGCATCATCACCACCATGAACATAGTCAGAATCATAATCATCATCAGCAGCAGCATCATCATCGTAGCCATCATCACCAACAGCAGCAATAGCATCATCAGCAGCATCATCAGCAGCAGTACCATCATCAGTATCAATATCAGCATCAGTTTCATCATCATCATCAGCATCAGCATCATCATCATCATCATCATCATCATCATCATCATCAATATTAGCATCATGACCGTCATGATGACCACCAAAAAAACGGACACCACCATCAGCAGCTGCATCGCCGATGTCACCGCCACGCAATCATCAGCTAAAGCAGCATCTCCATAATGATCACCATCCTCCTCACTATCTCGCTCCTCTCCCCTCCTGCTCTTCCTGATGCTCTTGCCTTCCCAGGATCTCGCAAGCACCCAGCCACCCCCCCCACCATCGAGGTGCTCGCTCTTCGCCATCTCGAAGGGGTCGGTGTAAACTTTTACGCCCAACCTCGCGCGGTCGTAGGCACTGCTGGCGATCGTATGGAAAGAAACATGGGAGAAGGGTGGAGGCGGAAAAGGGCAGAGGAGGAGAACCACGGAGCCATCGCGGGTCACTTTTGAGCACAATCTGGCCAGGAGCGCTGCAAGATGGTCCAGAAGGCTCTCAGTCAAACGCGCACTGACACTATCTCCTGCTTCGCCCTTCCCAAGGTGCTCGAACAATCCAGGACATCGTAACGATTGCTGTCATTGCGCAAGATTATCGGACAATCACCTTGCCGTCCTTCCCCTTGACAACCCCCCCAAACCGTGAGGTACGCAAATACGTGGCAAACAACACGGCAGCTACACTCATCTCCCCTCGTGGTTGTCGTTCGGAGCGTGCAGGGAAATTGCTGCAGATACAAAACCCCCACGGCAAATTCATAGATGTACCCACAGCATCCTCAGCTGGCCGAATACTCAGGTGCTTATCACGCGACATCCATCCGAGTTAAGGTGACACCCTCTACTCCATCCTCCAACGAAATTGCAAAAAAAGGCCGACTCTGGAAATCCTTAATCCACAATTGTTGACGTCTCACTTGTGAACCCGCGGGCTTCCGCTGGCAGATACGCCGCCGTTTTGTTTCCGCTGGTTTTCGCCTGCCTGTCGCCAGCTGCCGCCAGAAGGCAAACGCGGATAAGGCGACGCCCCTTCTTGAACGCACCGGGTCCCAAACATAACATGTCCTGATTTTGCAACATGGTTACGGTAGCCAGCGTGGACACCAACCCGTGTTTCTAATAACCTGTACTCTGCAACCTTCGTGGTGCAGTCTGGGTTGTGCCGTTTATGTTGTGCATCATTCATGGTGCAATATGTTGTGCACTCGACGTGGTTGAATAGATGTTGCGCAATCCACATTGTGCAACCGATGCTGCACAAGCACCGTGTTGCACCCGACTAAGTACAACTGATGTGGTGGAGTGTGTGTGTGTGTTGTGCAAGTTGAGTGGTGCAACGTATAAATGAACGGATGTGGATGTGTGAAATTTGTATACATGTATAAGTGGAAGCATATGCAATCGCCGAAATATAAACTAAACATATGAACAAAGATACATAAAATACACGCACGTATAGTGTATACACATGTGCCTGCGTAGAATTGTGCGTAGACGCATGCACACATTATACATATACATATATATATATACATATATAAACACACATTCCCGCTTTTCCAATATATACAGATGCACAAAATCATATATACATACATATATATATGGTGCAACTGAGGTGGTGCAAAATATCTGGGACAACCTGCGTGCTGCAATGTACGTGATCCAAAGTATGGTGTGACACACATGTTGTGCGACCTACGTGGTACAACCTACGTGGTGCAATTCACCCTGGTACTCGACCCCATCGCTCACGCAAACATCCCACCGAACCACCCGCAACTCGGTTCGCAAAAACCATGCAACGGCGATTGCGATAATTGCGCGGCGTTGGCTGGTGCATCTCTGCGGCCGCGCCAGCCCGCACACGCTGGCGCGCGCAGCGACCAGCTGGTTTAGCGAGACCGACGCGGCCGCGGTGACGCTGGCCGCTGAACATTCCCCAAGGGGACACTTCAGTCCGAGTCGGCGATGTGGGCGGGCGCGGTATCACGGCACCGAGAGCAACTGTAGACGCGGCGATGATGGTAGCGATGCGGGCGACGATGACGACGACGACGACAGCAAGGCCAGTGACGGCGCCGATGCTGATCACGCCGGCGACGATGACGGCGTCCTCGCGTCGGCAATGAAGGTTTTGGAAGAAATTCGACATGCGCGCGCGCAGCGACCACCTAATGCGGCGCGACCGACGCGGCCGCGGTGGCGCTGACCGCTGGGCACTTCCAGCGGGCACTTCAGTGCGAGTCGGTGGATTGGGCGGGTGCGGAATCATGGCGACGCCGACAACGGCCGACTCGATAATGAAAGTGGCGATGATGGCGATGATGGTGGCGATGACGACGGCAAAGCCAATGGGGGCCCGATGTTGATCACGCCCGCCGATAACGATGACGATGTGCTCGCGTCGGAAATGAATGTTTTGGAAGGAAGCCGACATGCGCGCGCGGCCGACGCGCGCGAGTGGCCCGCGCGGTAGTTTCTGACACGAACCGCGCCCCCCAGCACGCGCGCAAGGGCGTTCGGATGATCTCGACATGCGGCGCGAGAGGCCCGTTTGGCAAAAGTTGATGGCAACGTTGAAAAGCCGATGGTTGTCTTAAGACTTCGGCGCGCGCATACGTTTCAAAACGGACGTTGCAAAACCATGTGTTCTCACGCGTTCTCGGAACACTCGCTTTGGAAGTCCGCGCGAAACCTAAGGTGGTTGAAAAACTTCGGCAAGCGATTCTCGCGACAGCACGCGCGCAAGGGCGCCCGAACGATTTCGACACACGCGCGCGCGAGAGGCCCGCGCGGTAGCATGGCATACACGCGTTAAACTACCCAAAGCATTTTTTCAAATTCGCCAGAGCTCGGGCGCAGGTTTTTAAAAACTCAGGCACGTGCGCGCGCGTCGACCTGTTTCTGCTTGGGGCGCAAAGGACTCTTGAAGACTGGCGATTTGTGATAAACGATCGCGCGCGCAATTTTATTTCTTGCAGAGGACGAGGGGAGGCGCGAAACCTGGCCTGCCCGGGGTGGCACTAACCCATATTTAGGATGGGCGATGGCGCATCATCATATGTAAACTGCAACGCGAAATCTCGCACCGTTAACCCCTTGGGGGGGAGGGGTAGACCCCCACGCTTTCAAAAAAAGGAAAATATGTTGCGCGCGCAAAGTGGCGCAAGGTACGTTGCGCACCCAACGCGGCGGCAGCTATGCGGCGCAATTGGTGTCAACGTCTGTTCGCAGCGAATTGCCCACTCCACGGCTCGCGCAATCACCCCGCCCGCCCACCCGCAACTTGGTTTGCGACACTGACGCAGCGGCGATTGCGCCGAAAACTCGGCGTTGGCTGGTGAATCTTCGCGGCCGCGCTAGCCCGCGCGTGCTCGCGAGCAGCGGTCAGCTTGCGCGGCGCTGCCGGCGCGGCCGCGGCGGCGCTGGCCGCTGGGCATTTCCCAGCGGGGCACTTCAGTGCGAGCCGGTGACGTGGGC